ACCACAAAGTATTCTAGAACCGTTGAATAAGAATTAGGACAAATAGAAACTATGATTTGCAGTACAAGCGTCGGTAATAAAATATGTTAGGTGAGAAAGCAATTTTTAGAGCGCTAGCAGAAATTCAAGAAAACCAAGGAAACAGGCAATAGCGTACTTGACATATGTCGAAATATTTTGACTTTTATGCGTGCCAAAGCATGGCGTTTCAGTACTGGAGCAAATTGGCTGAGCATGGTACCATGTTTTATTAAGTTTCTAGTAACCAACGGGTTTTGCCAAGTGGCTCTCTAGAGGGCATTTTTCCTATAGTTGGTATAAATTTTCATTAGGGCTTAGGGATATCGCTAATCAACCATAATTTAGGATTGCCCGTTATAATATATGTCTACTATGCGTTATTATGTATCCCCACGTATTCAACTCAAATTGTCTCGGTTTCCCTAGCTCCTGACTGTCTGAAAATCCCTTGGAAAATTTGATGTTTTCTCCAGAATTCTGTGACTTATGGAACTTTTACCCAACTCTATATACTGCACTTAAAACCTGAAACGGAATCCTCCTTCTCATTTCATGTTATGTATGCTAGGCAAGAATTTGTTTATCAAAGAATCTATCCTAGGAAAATCGACTATGCCGTTTTGCCCTAGGTCACTAATCCCTATGAATCTCTAAGTCCTTGTATCACTTCCTTTCTAGGTTCGTACCTGCATATCTTTATATGCATTACTTATAGACCTTTTGTTTGAATTCAGTACACTACTTCCTCAACTTGGTAGGCGTGCTACACGTGACTGAGTGGCTTCTACTCCTGGTGTGACTGATGACTGATCTTGACAGTGTGTTTAGAACGAGGTCCTAAAAGTGACCTTCCCTTTTAAGCATACTAAAAATCTCTACTGCAAACTTCCTTGGACCGGACGGCTGAACTTGGCCAGCAACTTTGGTCAACACTTCTTCATTGCATGTCGACTTTCCGACTACTGCTGCAGAAGAGCATTCGGGGTCCGTAAGTCTGTATCGTTAACTTTTCATACAACGGTTTTACCTTTTTTTGATTGTGTATCTATCGCGGTAGTTCGTAGTAGTTTAGTTACTACATGCTGGTTACTTTTGTTGGGGATTTTGCGTTTCATCTTTTCTAATGCATTTTATATTTTTTTGTAAGCTTTAGACGTCTAAGCAGCAACAAATTCACAGAGTGAGAAAGTATTTCTTTCCTGCTTAATTGACTGTGTAACCCATCTTGATGTTTGTTTGCAATTAAAAAATTTAATCGCCCTACATTCGGCGGTCATTGGGAGATTCTTTTTTCTTCAACTGAGAAATACACTGACATATCGCAAATGTTGTTCTTGCTGAAAGTGTTGAGGCATTTAAAATAAGACGGGATACAAATTTACTTGCTGGTCATAGATTTGGTACACACCTATGATTGATATAATATACATATATTGCCCTGAAAATGCATTATCTGCAAGAATCAATTTAT